CAAAAAAACTCACGCACACTCATGTAAATTGCGTTCTAGACGAGTTTATTTCTTTACCTATGCATATTTCATTGTTATCAATTCAAATTGACTTTACATACAAACATACTTATATGCAATTTCCCCACAAATGGCTTTTCTTATACGTATGTATGTATGCAACAAACAATGAAAGTGAAAATGTCAAAACCTTTTATAATGCAATTTAGAGGTCAGTTACTTTGTTATATTTATGGCTAGCTCTGTAAGAATTATGGGTGCGCTATAAATATTTCGTCACTGTAAAACGATAAATAATCGCGATAACATATTCATAGTATCTTTAGTGTGATTAACACATAAGAGCCTCTTTTGAGTGCTTAGCCGCGGCAGCTGAATAGCTTGAAGTGCGGTCTACTAGATGGGCAGCCCCGGTTCTATGTCTGTTCTAGTGCAGAAAACTAATTCAATTAAACACAATTAAACAAACTCAATGCCCTCGTTAGTTCTGAATGAAAGTAAAGACGATCATTATTTGATATCCATTTTTTTTTTAGTATAGTATTTCACGTGTAAATGCGAGTTAAAAATTTTATAAAAATTTAAAAAAAAAATGTCAACGAAGAGGCCTACAAGACCTACAGTGAATAAGTTAATAACATTTCTAAAAAAAGTTTGGATATGCATTTTGTAGCCCATATAATTTTAGTGTAAAGTGCATATTTCAAGGGGCTGTAAAATAGGTTGATTTTTGACAATTCTTTTTTTCTTTGTTGACGGGGCTGCGCATTTTCTTCCATACAAAGTATGTATGCTCGAAAAAATTGCAAAAAAATCAACGGTATTTTACAGCCACTTGAAACTTACACTTTATTGATGGCTACGAAATTGCATATCCGAAATTAGTCTGAAAAATATTAAAAAAGGACTTTGTTATTGTAAAAGTAAATTTTGGTTCCTTTGCATTTTGTAAGAGCGATTATTCTTACGATTGGTAGTTGGCACCAGCTAATTCTCTTGAGGCTCCACAAAAGAGGAAGCAGTGGAGTTTATCGAACACTATTCCTGCATAATGCCTACTTTGACCAAAACAAGAAACTTTTTCTTCAATAAGTACCGTATATAATTTTTTTATATCACTCGGATCAGACCTAGCACCTGCATCTAGCCGTAAGGTAGGGCGCAGCTCCAACCCTTTGGCTACAGTGGCTGCAACAATATCAAAACGTCACAGATTTAATTAGAAGCTCAGCTAAACATTTAAATTGTTGGTAAATCTGGGACCATCATCATAACATAGATTTAAGACTTCTAAGAGTATTTCAATATAGATACGTATGTATGTAAAACTCAACGCAAAAGTTTCGAAAGCATTGCAATTTTTATATTGTTTCTCTATTCCTTTACTAATCGATGAAATCACGAAATTCTGATAAAAAAAAAAGGGGGAAATATATCGATCACGCATTTATTTATAGAATTTACTAATAAAACGAATGCACACTTATCAAAAATTGTATTTACTCAGGCGAAGTTAAAATATTGATTGCTCGAACTTGCGCGATCAGTCGCATAAGCGATGGGAGTGTAATGCGAAAAAATGCAACAAACAACTGACAATCTATGCGTAAACAATCTACGAGTATTTTACGTGTTTACCACTTTATTATGAAGTTTTTCGCGAGACATGTATGTACGCATGTACATATGTATGAGCCGTTCAGTGCACAAATTGATTAATTCATAAACAACAAAAAGTTGGGAGATGCGATCAAATAATGTACACTATTTTTTAGAATTCCATTTATATTATAAAATCAAATAAATAATGTTGTTATAGATATTATGTATTATTGTATGTTATACCAAGTGCTTTAACACTTAAATTTAAAATTTTTCAGAAAATCGAGTTAATCGATGTGTGCACTGAACGGCTCATATGTTGGCGCAGATAAATATGTATCTACTTACTGCTCTTAATAACAATTATCGTTGTGTTGTTGTTCTCATCAAACTCGTCACGTGACTCCAGATGTACGTTTGATACCGGATCCGTATAATTTAGTTGAGCACCCAATGGTGCAGTCAAAAAAGCTTCACGTGAATTGCCTTCCGCAAAGAAGTTACGTTGATTTTGACCCAAACTGAGTAAAAACGATTGACCGAACGCTCCTTGCACTAGTACAGTTAAAACTGAAATGAAATTACAAATCGGAAATCAATATTAAAAACTCAAGAATAAAATGATAACGAAAAATATGATTAAAAAAAATATACATTTGTACGTGAAAGTGACGTGTAAAGTGTGATATGAATGTTGAGGTGAAATTTAAAAAACAAAAAAAAAAAAAAGGGAAATCATTATCAGTACGGTGACCATCCGTCCTGTATTGTATGGGACAGTCCTCGTTTTTGTCGGTTTTCCTGGTAAGTTATTTGTTTTATAGGGGACACAAAATTTTCTGTATTTCTTTAAATGTTCGATTTTTGTCCCATAATCGGTGTAGCGGTGTAACTGGCCGTAAAACTTTAAAGAATAAAGAGAACCAAATCAAATCGCTGAACGAATTTCGTCGCACGAAGCGATGCCGTCGGGTGATAGTTGCGGCAAAATTTCACCCAATAAAACAGAACCGAAACGAAACTCGCACCAGAGGAAAGACAAATAAAAAATATAAAAATACAAAAGTGAAGAAATGAATCTCTAAATTCTGCTAGAAAAATTTAAAAAAAAAAAAACTATTTTAAATGTCCCATATTTGGAGCAAAAAAATCTTGTCAATCAAACCAAATTTAAACGGGCTATGTACTTACATAGGCGACCGCTGTGGTGCAGTGGTTAGCAGAG